TTTGTTATTTTCTTTTTAAAAAAAAAAAAAAAAAAAACCACTGTCTTACCCCCTTCCTTCATTTTCTTCTACTTATTTTCTTTTTCTTCTTTCCAATTTATTGGAACTAAAAAATCAGAGGTTTCGTCATTTTTTGAACTTCGCCGGAAGATAGAACCTCGCCAAATCCCACTGAATATCTTGGATTTGTTTATTGGTTTTTATTTTTCCTGTGACCTTTAAATAGCTGCTCGTGTTAATAAAAAATCGGTGACCTTAATTAGAAATCTGCTCGTGTTATCACTATGCAAAAAATTGCTTCACTTTAACTAATAAGGAAGCAATATCAAGTGATAAACATGACTTTTCTATTAATTTGTCCTCTCAAGTTAATCCCATCTTCGTTGATTTGTTCCAACTTTATATTACAAAGATGACGTCAAATAATAATTGATAGAAATTACACCTAAAAATTATTTTAATAATTGTTAGTAATAACGCCAAAAACCTGCTCGAATCTGGTGGGGTTATTTTAGATGAGGAGGGTTAGGGTCTGATAACGGTCGGATAAAAGAGTTATTGGGTATTTTAAATTGGGGATGGGTCAATTGAATCAGAGAGTGACACGTGGCCAGCCGTCTAAATTAGGGTTAGATCTGAACTAAAAGTATAACGGTAGGGACATAATTGACCAAATAGTATAACAGATGGTAATTTTAAACAATATTCAATAGTACATTGGCAATTTTGGCCCTTTTTCGAAGATAAAATTGAAATACACATGTGCATTAATGAGCATATTTAGCTTATAATGCATAGAAAAATATAAATAATTTCCTCGAAAAATATAAATAATTTTCAGAAAATTAATTTTACACTTATAATACAATTTCTTCCTAGTTCTTATATTAACTTTTCAGCAATATAAAAGTCAATACTAGTCTTAACGGTGTGAGGCCTTTTGGAAAAACTTGTACGGGCTTGGTCCAAAACAGACAATATCACACCATTTAAGAGTATCTTTAGGCCGTTTTAGTCCGACAATTGTATCAAAGTCAATGGTTTGACGGGACAAGTATGGAGATGGCAGAGTGATGGCGCAGGACTCGGCTTAATGCCTTTGCCTGTCTATGGGCTGATTAACTATCTTTATCCGTAGCTTCAAAGATGCATACAGAGCTCTCCTTGGGCTTCGGTGACCGTAAATAATCGACTCTAAATTAGGTGAAAATAGCACGGGCTAGCCAGTTTTCGGGATGATAATTAAAAAATAGCCAGCATTTGCAAAGTTATTGAAAAATAGCTACTATTTTGCAACAACACGGAAAGTTCTAGCATAATATACTGGAGATTGGATCACCTGTATATGAAATATGCTGGAAGTCCAGTATATTATGTTGAAACTCCAGTATATTATGCTAGAACTCTAGTATATTATGCTAGAATATTTTTCCGGATTTTGAACAATGTTTTCGTTTAGATTTATCTTTTCATGAAAAGTGGCTAAATTTCGATTACTTTTGAAACTGTAGCTATTTTTCAATTACACTTGTAAATTTGACTATTTTTTATTTTCATCCCTAAATTAGCCCATGAATGGTGGTGAGTCATGTGAAACTTAGTTCAAGGGGAGTTTGTTGGATCTGTATGAACAAAGTCATAGAAACGAAAAAAAAGTTACTCATAAGGAGTTGAATACTCTTAATAGCGCGAGGTCGAAAACCGTGCGGGCTTGTCCCAAACCGGACAATATCAAAGCATGTTAAGAGTATCTAGGCCGTATTAATCTAACATTTACCTCATCCCTCATTGTATACTATTTACAACATCACATGCCATGCACCTATTGGTTTGATGTAAATATTTATTACTGGTATATTATTACCATATTTGGAAATAGTAACATACTTAAATAAAGAAACAAAATAAACTAATTATTGAGAGGAAACCTAACTCGGTTCTAACATCTAAGGAAGCAAAGTTCCCAACTTATTAAACCATTCAACAAATAGGAGACAGTAGTTGATAAGGCAAGTAATAGGGAGTAAGAAAAAGTGATAACATGCTTCCAATTGTGTAGTGATTGAAACACTCAATTTGACAATATATAACTTTTGAGTTTTGAGGCAATTGGCTATGAACAACTGCTCATTACATTCTTTAGCCAAAACGAAGGGAGCTAGCTAGGTGAACAGGGGGCATTCCATTCCAGTTTCTATTGGGTTTAAGCTTGTTAAAAGCTTAAAATAAAGAGTGAATGGGAAATGGAGGGATAAATGAATATTTAAATTTCCCTATTTGACAAAGGGACAATGTCCCATTTTGGAGGAGAAAAAGAGTTTTGATGGGTATATGTACAATTGCTCTTTTTCTAGCTCTTAAAGAGTTAAAAGAAGGCAAGTTCTGCTCGCTGCAGGTTTCTACCTCCCACTCCAATTATTTTTCTCATTCCTTTTCATGCTTATCAAGAAGAGTTTCTGGAAAAGAATACAAATAGTGTAAACAGCAGCACGAGTTTGGATGTAACTTCTTCACATTTGAAAGCATTTTTTTAATTTTCCTTTTGACTATTAATATAAAATCTGTTTACTTCTAATCTTATTTTTCCTTTTGTTATTAAGGACTTCTTGTCTTGCCAAGCTAGGGGATTACAACTTACAAGAATTTGATTCTTTTAACATCAAGACTCTATGATAGTACTCTTGCTTGGTATATGGTTTGAGCTGAGGATTGCTCCGACAGCAGGCGTTGGTGCAGCGCGCGAAGGCAAGGAAGAAATGAAGTGTTCTAAGTCATTCAAGTTCTTATGTGAAGAACCATCAATCTGCATACCAGTAACAATCTTTTGTTTCATGTCTACTATCCTTTTCTTCAGATCTTTGCCTTCTTCACTTAACATGAGTTTCCTTACTGTTTTCTCTATAACCGATCTCTCTGCCGCCTCCAATTCCAGGCCAACCTTATATATCTGGCTTAGATACCTCGCGTTCACTGGTTGGTCTGCTAAAATTGGCCTGCATATCATAGGGACTTCTTCACAAATACTCTCAAGTGTAGAATTCCAACCACAATGTGTGAAAAAACCTCCCACCGCGGGATGTGCAAGCACCTGTTTTTGTTGTGCCCATTTCACTATCCGACCTCTTTCTCCTATCGTTTTCTCAAAACCTTCGGGCAAGGCCTCACTCCATTGAAAGCCAGAGACGGATCCAAGTCGAACAACCCATAAGAAGGGCTGTTCACTGTTAGCTAATCCCCAAGCAGTCTCAATTAGCTCCTTGTCGTCGATCTTTACTAGGCTTCCCAAGCTGACATAGAGTACTGAATTAGGAGCTTGTCTGTCGAGCCACTCCATGCAGCTACCGTCTTCTTCTAGTAAGCTAGTCGATGAGGTTGAAGGTGCCATTTTGTGTAGAGGGCCGATGGGGAAGAAGGGCACCTTGTAATGTTCCTGAACGCGTAACAACAATGAATTTTCCAGGTTTTCCATTGTATTCCAAATAGTCGCAACAGAAGATCCTATATTGCTCATTGCTCGACAGAATTCTAGTATCGGTTCTGGAACTGTATTATCGATGACAGGAAATGGTACATCCTTAAACCTCAGGGGATGAAGCTCCGGCAAAGGATCCAGTAGCTGAGAATCTGGAATTGTATTGAATAATCAAAATCTTGGAATCAATGAAGATTTAGCGAAAGATAGGGTACAAAAGAAGAAAAAGATTATATAAGCAATACCAGTTAGCTGAGAATAAATTTAGTCAGGTTTTAGCCCTATTAGAGATTCTTATGCCGATAGGAAATATACATAACTTCTAGTAATTTTTATTTTGTATAATGTTGGCGTGAAATAAATTTAAATGGGGAATAAAGGTGAGTGAAGATTCATATAGCTGACCCCAACTTATTTTTGGGACGGAGACGTACTTAGCTTGTTGTATTGAATTCGAAATAACTTGTCATTTAAATCTTGAAGCAGAGGTTGTGTCTGGTCTCATACCTTCAAAAGGAAAATATTTATCTGGTTTCTGAAGAATGGTGAGCATAGAGTGTAAATATGTAGCGCTGAAAGTGCGGAGGACAATACTAGGAAGCCTTAGTTGAGTAGCCACATCATCAACAAAGAACATAACATTGTCATAAATGAGACAAGCAAGCTGATCACCTTGAAATTCCTCTTCCTCCTCCTCTTCCATCATACTAACGAGGTAATTTTTAAGGGACGTCTTGCAGTTCTCGTTCAGATCATACATATTTTCTAGACTCGGCATTGACATGTCAATTCCCTGTAATCCGTCGTTCATAGAATGAAAGATGAATTCAGGATGATTGGAATAATCAGGAGCATTGAATTCAGTATGCGCAACTACGACAGAAAAGCCTTGAGAATGAAGAATACTTCCAAGCTGCAGCATTGGTGTTAAATGCCCCTGGAATGGATATGGCACTAATACAACACTCCGCCTTTTTTGTACTTTCATCTTTCTTTCTTGAATTTCCGTTTAATGTTCTTTCCGAAAATAGCCTCTCTACTCTCACAAGGTAAGGATAAAGTTTGCGTACACACTATCCTATCAGACCCCACTTGTGGAATTGGATTCGTTGTTATTGCCGTTGTTGTTGTTCTTGAAGGAAGTTTATATATAGTTCTCAAGTTTAGGAACTCTGAGAGTTTCCAAAGAAGCTGGCTTTTTGGAATATTTTGCTGCTACTTAATACTGAATAAATGGTGATGGAAAATAGGGACAACTCACCATAGTTAATCACAAAAAGGGAGTGTAAAACTAGAACTAAGATTCTTTTGGAGGCTTATTTAATAAGAGATGCAAATTGGAAAATGCTTCAAACTTGATCATATATTAGTATTGTTTGTGTTTAGCTATTCGTCTTTTAATCCAGTGGTTCAGATTTAAGCGCATTTGTTCGGCTATTTTTGGCCATATCGACAAGATAAGGGAATCTATGGTATTACAGCCGCCTCAATAGACCAAGTAACCAACTAGCATATTTGGCTTCATGAAATAGTTTTGAACTGATATTTAAATATTTTAAAAATCCCTTTTAATGTTTAAATTCAAATAGATTAGATTTCAAGTTTTAACCCATACTCAGTATTAATATTTTCTATAATTCTTTATCACTTAAGGTTATTAGTCTTCTAGAGAAACTTGTTTTTTGTATAATCTATACGGGTGAAACTCTAATTTTTATGTTTTCTTAAAATTATATGTAAAGAAAAGTATTATTACTGTGTTATATATATCTTTTTTTTTTACTTGCACTTTTATTTTATTTGGGTAATGATGATGATGATATGAGTTGAACTAAATGAAAAGAATGAAGACTCACATTGCCGATCAGTGGCGGAGCCACATGCACCCAAGGGGCGACACCCCTTCGTCAGAAAATTACACTGTTTAACTCGGTAATTTTTAAAAATATATGTATATATACTACGAAAAAGGGCCAAATATGCGAGTGAACTATGCAAATTAGAACAAATATGCCCCTCGTTATTTGTTTGGCCCAGATATGTCCAAACCGTCCAATACTTGTGCATTCTGTCCTCTCTTTCTAAAAATTTGGCCTTTCTTATTTCTGTCTCTCATATGGTAAGGATGTTTTAGACTGTTACCGTTATGGATGTTGTTTACGCACTTAAGAGGCAGTGCAGGACTCTTTATGGATTTGGTGGTTAGGTTGTTTAGTTTGTGATTTTAGGGTGTTCATTTCTCAGCACTGCTATGGGTGTTGTTACTGCTATGGGTGTTGGTTTCTCAGCAGCGTTGTGTTGAACTTTCTGGTGTTGGTTTCTAGAATCTGTTAGGTTGAACTTTCTGGCTCGTTATTGTTGTTAATACACAGCAACAACTAGCAACTTATTAAATGCCTTTTGGATGACAGTCAATTTGTTGTGTTGAATCTTCTTTTAGACCCATTCTTCTGCAAATACTATGTCAGCACTTCTGTAAGACCCATTATTAAATGCCTTTAACTGTAGCCTCGCAAACATTGTTGCTGACAGTGAATCTGCTATGTCTCGCAAACATTGTTGCTGTGATCACATTCGCAAACATTCTGCAAATACTATGCATTTCCCACTTCCGCCAACTGCATTAACTCCCTTCTCTCAACTCTCTAATCCACAAGAAACAAAAGGAAAACAAACAAAAACAAGAATTGATTCAACCACATATGTACAGAGATGAAAAGTAAATTTTGGCATTTAATTAGAATTGGCATTTAACTAGATACAGATACGAGGGATTAACATGTGGGGTCTTTTAGAAATAGGGGTGGGTCGGATCGGGTCATTAGATTTAGGTCGGGTTCGGGTATTAGTTATTTAAAAAAGAGAAAATATTGGGTTCCGTCTAACTAAGGGCATGAATGAACAAGTATTAGACGGTTTGGACATATCTGGGCCAAACTAATAACGACGGGCATATTTGTCCTAATTCGCATAGTTTAGTGGCATATTTGGCCCTTTTCCCTATATACTATATAATGACACCCTTTGACTTCTTGGTGAGTTTATTTCTTTATATTTTGACTCCCCTTAATGAAAATCTTGGCTTCGCCACTGATGCCGACCCCAACTTATTTGGGACTAAGACATAATTATTGTCGTATATGTAAAGAAAAAGAGAGGGAGAAAGAGAATCTAATTGTATGAGCCTCTCCCGTAAGTGTCCCTTCTCTAAAATTGACAAAAGCATTTCTCTAATTGCTACTTCTCACAAAACTAAACACAAATTGCTAATTCTCTCAAAGTGTTTCTTTGAAAATCTATTGTGTACGGTCAAAACCGATTCTCAGTCATAAAGACCGGTCGAGACAATGACGTTTCAATCGAAGGGTATCCACCTGACAAGCTCGGACGAATCCCGAAGTAGGGATGTCGTGCTTCGAGCTATAAGACCAATCAACGGCAAAACTCAATATCATTATCGAGTTCGTGTCCGAATCGAACTAGGGGGCAACACCGATCGACAAAGGCCCCGAATATCGATGACCCAAGGCAGAACCTAGCTCGAACCAAGATTGGGGGTTCGATCTAACATCAAGCTCGAGCCAGTGCCAAGCTCGCAGACAAGAGCCGTTACAACCGCACCGAGGGAGAGAATCTTGGCGAGAATCAAGGAAGAGACAAACCATCATGGGTCCTCCACTATATGTATTATTTTATTATATTGTTATAGATAAAGCAGTGACCCTCTACTATAAAAAGGGGGATAGACTGCAATAGACGCAAGTCCTCCAAGATACATTAAGATTTCATTATGCTTGTTTTTCTAATATTTTTCAGTCTTCTCGTCCATCATTCCCATTTTATAGCAAAAATACCTGTATTGTCATTTTGTATCAAAGGAATTTGCATACCCTTAGAACCATATCTAAATTTAACGTTATTCGATTTTTCGGGTAAACAGTTTGGCGCCCACCGTGGGGCTAAAGGTAACAGTGATTGTTTGATATAAATCCACAGTACACTCCAGCTTACAACTTCAAATCAGCAATGGCTCTACCTATCGACCTCGAAGCTGGCCTTCAAGATGAAACCAACAACTTGGCACCCGAGGCTCGAATCGAAGTACCCAAAATTCGAGCCGAAATATCATTGGATGTCTATTCACAAATAGCTTCGGAGGCGAACCAGCATTCCAAACCGGAAAGAAGCATTCAGGGCGGTACTCGATCCGTAGCCCGATACACCCAAAACGCGGGGGAAATCGGGGCCAGCTACGTATGATCTTCGAGATGCTGCAAGCCCAACAAGTAGCGATAACTCAGCTACAGAGCCAAACTCACGCACAGAGCAGGCCGGATTCCAATCCACTTCGAGAAGTCACCCCCATAACAGAGCCCGCCAT